CATTAAAATATACATGGTTAAAACAAAACATAATGTAGTAACAAGAAAAATTTAGTTAAATGAATACAACAGGTTGTATTTATATAACAACAATAATAATATTATGTATCATGTAATAATAATATTTATGTAACAATAATTAAAGAAAAAATATCATAAATTTGAAAATGAGTGGGGGGGGACACAAGAAGAGCTGTAAGCAGGTGGGCTTAAATGGTTTAAATGCAGTACTATTGAATGAAATTCACAAAAATATTTTAAAAATTAAAATGTTATTCCATAGGAAAAATAAAACATAATTAAATGGTATTTTCGTAGCATTTTTAAATAAAAATATCTGTTTTAAATTAGTATTAAAAAGGCTAATTATAAAATATTTTAAGGATAATTCAAATGTAGGAAAAAGTAAAAAAAATACATGTTTTACCTTCAAGAATAAAAATGTTACATTTGAATGATTAGGATTTTAAAACTATTGTCATTTTCCCACTGTCGTAAGTATTTACACAGCATGAGGTTTAGTCATATTATGTGACTTTCCCTGGAGAAATATGAAGCAATGTCTATTTACCCACACAGAACACTAATAGAACAAGAAGATGATTCCACCCAGGTTTAGCTAAGTGAACCAGTGAGTTTATTGGAGTTTCCTTCAGGAGCATAGATATCTCTGAATTAAGAGAAAGCCCAGCTCATCATGAGTGAGAATTCAGGAAAACTGCATTCCTAGAATTCCCTGTGTTGGTAGAAGGGTACTTGGCATGTTGGAGTCTTCTCTTCCTCCTTCTCCTTCTCCTTCTTCTTCTTTTCCATGTACACAAAACTTTATTGTCACAACTAGTTATATACTTAACATCAAACAAAAGAGAGCTTTATTTAAATTTCTCCACTTTCTTAAATGCATGAAGCCTATCATTAAGCACTCTATCCACTTTGGGGAGTGCATAGTGGCCAGAGCCAGCACGTACTACCAAACCCGGACACCACATGGGTTGTGAAGACTGAAGAATTGGGGATTTTATAAATTATCTTATACAGGTACAAGAATGTGATCTTAATATTAAACATACTAATAAGGCATTAATGCATTTTGTCCTTTCTACTTGAATATAGTCTTTAATCCCCTCTCTCCAGTATAAAACTATTCTATTTTATTTGCTATAAAATGGTATTTCTTTGCTGGGTGGTGGTGGCGCACGCCTTTAATCCCAGCACTCGGGAGGCAGAGGCAGGTGGATCTCTGTGAGTTCGAGGCCAGCCTGGGCTACAGAGTGAGTTCCAAGAAACGCGCAAAGCTACACAGAGAAACCCTATCTCGAAAAACCAAAAAAAAAAAAAAAAAAAAAAAAAAAAAAAAAAAAAGTATTTCTTTGAAACTAGTCAAAAGACTGAGAATATTCTCATTCCTAAACGATATTCTATTTTACCTACTTTAAAGAACTTTTCATTATTTCCTGTCTTTCATCATTCCTACAATCTCTAAGACACTGTAATATTAATAACGGACTAACTTAAACATTTGAGTGAAATAGTTTAGAGCCTTAATTTAAGCATAATAGTCTATTCAGCAATTTGAAAATATTTATTGCATTCAAAATTGTATTTTTCTGGTTTACTTGGAACTTTAAATTTTTATGTGCTTACCAAACTGAATAAATAATTTTGTGCTTAAATTTAATAACTTATTCTGCGAATTTGTTTTTTCCTTTTTTTTTGTTTCTTCTTTTTTTTTTTAAATGCAAGATGTCAATATACAGATCAGGTGGGCTAGGAACTCTACATAGACCAGGGTTGTCTTCGCTTTGCTTCTGCCTTTCAATTTCTTAGAGTCCAGGCATACACCATGCCAGAATTCGCAGCTTTCTTTATGTTCAGAAAAATCTGTCTCCTTAATATAAGATCTATTTTGTAATAAAATTCCCTTTTCCTATGATAAGTTGCTAAATTCTTTTGCCTAATTTTTATTTTTTAGATTATTGGATTAAAGCATCTGGATGAAAGTTAAGGGTAACTTAGTATTACTTATAAGTGTATTAATTATATGAGGGTTTGGCTATGTTTATTTTTACTTCAAAACTGCCTATAATCTAGTAAGACTCATCACATTAATATCCTTAATTCTTCAACCTACTGGGTTATTTTATCATGTATTGTATACTTCCTACCTCTTAAACTTCCATCATTTCTTTCTTATTCAAGTCTAATTTTGTGATTTTATTTCATCTACACTTAAGTGTCTGGTTGTTTGTTTTTTTTTCTCTCGGAAGTTGAATCTTTGTGCTATGAAATGATTCTTCTATTGTGTCTTTTTTACCACTAAATTGGCTTGAGTTTATTGTTAAGCTGGCCTTTAATTTCCCTTCTGAAGTAATTATTTGGCCAATCAGCATCACTAAATTGAGAAAGCATGTAGGACTGCAATGAAGTTAATTTTCACTGAGTTCTTGTTATTTTTTTCAAATACTGTCTCAAAAAACAAATGTATTTTGCTAGCATGAGGTCTGTTTGTACAGAGGGATCTCTCTGGATGTTTGTTATTTCTCTATTAGCATTAAATTTGACTGCAGGAGTAAACAAGCAAAGGAAGTCTAGTTTCTGCAAAATGGTGTTTATGGTGCAGGAGCAAATGGGCTGCCCGCCCCTGCTGGGTGTCGGGATAAAGCCCCTTTGTTGCAGATCTCAAGTCATATTCTACACCTTAGTGATCTAGGACTTAGTCCATTTCCTCCTTAGTCACTTATGAAAAATATCCTTCTCAGGGTTTAAGAATTTATGCGAACTCTTTTAGCATAAACAGTTGTTACATACAAACATAAGTAAATTTGTAAATACAACCTGCTCTGTCTACATAACGTTGATTGGGTATGTGTTTTCAGGGCTGACCATTTGTTATTTGATAGCCAGGTTGTGTGCTCTTCCCTGGGGGAAGACAATTTCTCCCACTCTCAGCATCCACGATTGACTACAGAACAATGAGGGTTATATGGGAGAGTTTAGAAGGAGGAAAGGGAAGAGGGAAACAATGTAATTATATCATAATCTAAAAAAAAGAGAAAACTCTTAGACAAACTAAATGGATACAGTAGCTTTTATCTACATATTTTTTGTGTGTATACACACACACACACGAATCTTATAATAGAATATACTAATACTAACAATATTAATACTAATAATGATGCGATGAATTTGAGACATAATGAGAAGGGAACGACTATTAGCTGATAAAAAGACATTCTAAAAAATTATTCAAAACTGCTAGGATAGTCATCTTGAACATTTTCTGGAATGCAGAAAGTTCATTTCATTTGTTTAAATAGCTGCTGGAATCATTTTCTTCTTCATTCTCCATGTTTGGAGAATATGTGCTTCATGACTCTACAAAGATTGGCTTTTCCCAGTAGTAGATCTGATTTTTCAAGGAAGTTTTCAGAGATGCAACAGAGGCACTGTAGAACTCAGACCTAGAAACCAGGCAGATAACTCTAATCTTGTACTCCATGGTTTGAGTTTTAACCCTTAATTACAAATAGAATTAACTCTCATTAATTCTATCAATATTGTTCTGGTTGTTTTTTTGTCAGCTGGACACAAACTTAAACACATCAGGGAAACGGAATCTCATATTAAGAGTTACTTCCAGGAGATTGGTTGATGGGCAAAATCGTGAGGCATTTTCTTTAGTAATGATTGATGTGGTTGGCCTGAGACCACTGGGTGGCACCACCACCTCTGGGCATGTGGTCTGGGTAGTATAATAAAGAAAGCCCATAAACATATTTCCTTCATGGTCCCTGACTCTGCTTTAATCTCAGTGATGGAGTGTGGTAGGACTTAAAGAATTGTTCTCTTTAACCATAACTAAAATAAGAAAAATTATAATGTAGATATTTTTTATTATGTGTTTCCTAAAGCTGTAATTGTTAACCAAAGAATAACTAACTGAAAGGCATGCGTGTCATGTAATCTTTCAACAGATTCGTTAAAGCCTCTAGTTAATTGAGAATGGTATCTTCTCAGAGACAGTGAGACGGCTCAGCAGGTAAAGGCATTTGTTGCCAAGCTAGATGACCAAGTGTGATCTCAAACTCACAAGGTGAAATGACAGGATTAACTCTCTACAAATTATCTTATGACCTCCAAACAAAGCATAAGCATGCCCATACATACATACATACATACATACATATATGCATGTATACATACATACAAATGTAATACAAATGGTATAAAAAAAGAGTGGTATGAACATATGAGTCTTCTGCTAGTTTATGATTTAAATTTAAAAAGTCACATGAAAAATGTCTTCTAAAGTAAAGATATAAATTCAAGAAACTCTTATCTTGACTGGATGAAAATAATATGATCTATTAAATAGAAGAGCTGAAATAAAAATATTACCGCAACTTCTTTTAGCACGTTGGCACATGGTGACTTGTCTTTGTCCAGTTACATGGAGTGTGGCAGAGGCATCTCAGTTGTGAGCTACACTTCGAATTCAACTATGAAAAATATTGTGAGACAGGTTAAGAATACATTCTTAATATGCAGCTTGGCTGTTGAAAAAGTTAAGAGTTGAAAGCAGAGCTTTCACAATAAATTCCCTTCTGAAAAAGCCCGAGGAAATGATGAACATTTTGATACTGGCCAACAGCAAACAAAGATTCTCTATTTCACACAGAAATACACACACGCACATGCGTGCACGCTCGCGTATACACACACACACACACACACACACACACACACACACACACACACACACACAAACTAGTGCTAGTTGAATGGGAAGAAGAAAGAGGGAGAAAGAATGGAGCATGGAGGAAACAGAGAGACCGAGCTCTGAATTGATGAAAGAGGAGATAAATCAATTAGTACTATATGCTAGCTCTCCCCGCCCTTTTTAAAATCATCATGAAGCTTGGAAATCTGGGGCGCCCACGGGAGGTGGGGGTGGGGTGCCTCCGTGATGTCTCTCTAGGAGACTTCATTCCTTTCTCTTTTCAGAAGTCTCATCAGCACTGAAGTCAATTAACTGGCTGCAAGCTGGCCAGGCGCATGAGATGCTTCTAGAAGAAACTGATTCTGCTCCGCATGAGCACCGCATACCCAGCTTCCCAAGCTCTTTCCAAGGATGTGGGTTCACTCTAGCATTACGGTGTAAGCTGTCTTCACTAAACTGTGCTTTTTTCCGTGAGGGAGGGAACATCCCCAGGGAGTTCTGCCCCCTAATCCTGGGAACCGCTGGCTGAATCCCCCCTTTTCAGCCCAGAGGCTTCCTTCTCCACTCCCTCCAGGAGCCTAGTAGGCTCTGCACCAATTCTACACTGCCTCTTCCTTTTTTAAGGGGCGAAAGGCTGAGCACTCCCTTGCATGGTAAGTGGTCTGTCACTCTGTCCCGCTGTGCAGCTGTGATTGGCGGGAAGGACAAGTCCTCTGGCCCCGCCCCCGCCTGTGTTTGCCGCGCTTGGTGGTTTTTTTTTTTTTTTTTTTTTTTTGAAAAGGTGGAGAGCGAGATTCTGGCGCTTGGACCTGATGGAGCAGCATTCCCAATTTTGACTGCTGTTATTCGTCCTCCACCAGTGAGTCAGAGCCAAAAGAAGGCTAGTCCTTTCCTGCTGAAAGAGCTTTGGGGAACTGTTGCTCAGGACCTAGGCACTCCTGACGCATCTTCTCAGTCTCACTCCTTTCTATGGCTTCGCTGTGAAATCCCAGGCACGTTTGTAGCCCTGTGAATTCCTCTGCTCTGTGCTCAGAGGAGGGGTCCAGGAAAACATCAAGTGTTGGAAAGAGAGGGCTTCAGAGTACTGCGGGAGCTGTCTGAGGTGCTGAAACCTTCCAAGCGTTTGACTCCACCAGCCCCAGAAGGGGTTAGATGGCACGTTTTCATTTCTGCCTTTCTGGTCCCTCATGCCTTGGATAAGACTCTTTCCAGGATCGTGAATATCGCTCCGTATCATGGCCCACGTGAGACACTTTCGGACACTAGTTTCTGGATTTTACTTCTGGGAAGCCGCACTGCTACTGAGGTAAGTCCACTTACATTAACAGTCAGTCTCATTAAGTGCTCAATAAGCCAGTGCATTTAGCTGCAACCACTTGTTTAATGAGGAAGCTGAGAAATGTGTGATTATGTACCTACTTACTGAAACTGTAGCTTAAATCACGTTTTTCTGTTTAAAAGAGCCTCTATTGAGACCTCTAGAAACATGTAATTTCCTGTTATTTTCACTGACTGTGTGTATTTAAGTAATTGAACCCTTCCTACATTACTGTTTAAAACCTAATGTTTTCAAAAATATACATATTTTTCCTTCTCATATATTTCTCTTAGAGTACTCTTTGGAATGGTAAATTATGTGTTTTGAATGTTAATTTCTTTTAAAAAGTTACAAAACATTAAAAATTCAAAAATGAGGCATCATTAAATTAGAAAGAAAAATATAAAACATAGGCACTTATGGAGCAGAGAAATGTCATTTTTAATATGTGCAGAGACGGAGTTAAAAGGGGACTTTAAGGTACTACTTTGCAATGACCTAATTCAATACATGAAGGCAAAATCATTAATAAAACATCAGATATGTTCTATGCCTACAGTTGTCTTTTGGAAGCAAGCAGCATAAAAGGCCTATCAACTTGTAAAATTGTTGTGATATGACATTTTTTTTTTACTATGTCCCAATCATGTTAGCTAGGCTTTCTACTTTACAATTACTTAGAAGAGACTAGGAGAAGCTATGTAAGAGTTCAGATAATTGAGATCCCGTTGTTAGTCCAACATTGTATGAAAGCAAGATTGTTCATATAGATTTTTAAAACTAGCAACATTAATTTTAGGCTACTATTGTCACAAAATTACTGTGGCATTTTCACTTAATGGCTGACAACCTTTTCAAGCATTCCATACTTAAATAACTAGAACAACTGTGTTAGTTAAGCATATACTGATTTCCATCTGGTGAAAGAATTCTTTCTTGTGCTAGTAAATCTAGTTTTATTCTTTTGGCCACCTTAAAAGTTATGACTCTCATGAGCTGCCTTACAGGAAGTCATATTGTTCTGGCATGCCTGTATGTAATAGTTGAAATGATTGAGAAGAAAATTACACTTTGTCCAAATGTTGACTGCCTTCTATATTGAGGGCTTGAAAAATTTCAGATCAAAGTATTTTCAGTGAAAAGAGTTTTAATATGATTTTATAAATTTCTGTAATTTTCAATTGACAGAGGTTTTCTGTGTAGGGAACATATCAAGAGTATGAAGAGCTTTCATATATATGAAAATGTCATGGAAAGTAGCACAAAGTTCAGATTACAATAAACTGATCATTTTTCCATGATATTTTCTACTATAATCATTTGTAATTTTTGTATTAAAGGTGATACTATGCATTTTTTAAAAAGCAAGAGAATTTATTTGATGTAAATTGTAGGTCAGTAATTAAGACATATTAGTCAATGAACTAAAATTTGTGTAATGATAATTCATCACAATATTTTTTTATTGTAACTAGATATATAAATTCTTCATCATTGGGTGCTCAGATTTGTGATTTTTTATTGAAATTTACAAAAAGCTAATTTGATAATTATAATTTATCTTCAATAACATTAAATAATTAAAATATTTAAATATTTAAAAGAATAATCTAATCATAAATTCTTAGAAAAAGACTTCCTACCAATAAAGAGCTAATTTCATACTTCCATTGTTCATCAGTTTTCTTTCTTTCAAAAGTCTGGGAAAAGTTTACCCTAAATAGGAATTAGATGAGATTAGGTCATTGTTCTGTGAAAACTTTAATAACATACAAAAAAATAGGTATTTTCACTCTTAGTGGTTGGCCTTAAAAGATTTCCATAGGAATGAAAGATTACCTTATTGAAAATGATGTATAATGTCTTCATGGAAATTATTCTTTTAACTAAATCTACTTGTATCCTATTACTAGAAAAGGAAAAGTGAAGATATTGATTTGAGATATGTACTTTGTTACTGTTAGCTATAGTCAGTTCACAGTCCTATTAAGCAGCAGCAATCATTATGATAACATAATTATATATTAGCAAACTTTTTCTAGGGCAATATAGAAGCAAGAGCACCAATCAAACAGTAAAATAGTTTATAATGTTCTGATTCAAATAATTTTACAGGTTTTTAAGATTTTAAGAGTTTTGTTTAAATAGTATACATATTTCTAAAATAAACATATACATAAAATTTAGATAAAGTTTTCGTAAAGGGAACATACCCAGGTGAATAAATCACAGACCAATAATTAGAAGCATCAGTCAATACCACATAGGTGCACACACCAGCCACCACCTCCATCTCCCCCTTCAAAGACATCACCTTTTCCAAAAGTAATTGCTATCCTAATTTATGCCACAAATATGTTTTTCTTGCTTTTGCACATTATAAATAAAGAATAATTTTCATCCAATTCATTTTTCCATAACACTATGCTTGTATGATTATCCATGGTGCTGTACATAGCAGGAACTTACTCTCATTAAAGTATGGTTGTACCTTGTATGACCACATGACAATCAACTTATCCATGGCTCTCTTAATGAACTCACAAACCATATTCATGGACTACTTTGGGCTAATATAATTTTACAATGAATATCCTTGAACATCTTGTGATGTGATGTGATGTGATTGTGTGTGTGTGTGTGTGTGTGTGTGTGTGTGTGTGCGTGCGTGTGTGTGTGTGTGTACTGTGTATGCCAGTCCTAAGATTTATCTCTAGAAGAATTGCTGGGTCATAGGGCATGCATGAGTATGGTTAGACAAGTACATTATACTTTGGTAGATGCTGTCATGTTCCCAAAGCAATTGTACCTAATTCTATTCCTAGAAGTGACATCTGAGTTCCTCTTGTTTACTAATATATAACTAGATTAATGATAAGATATTATAAGAATGTCTACTGTTTTCCTTATTGACTATTGTAAGACTACAGTTGTTTTTTATATTCAGATGATTTCTGCATTTAGTAAATAAGTTTAATAAAATCAGTCAAAATTATCAAAACAAAATATTTATTACCACAATGCAATTAGAACTATCTATGAGGAAGACATGTCAGGTTTGGGATATTTTTTAAAGAAGATGGATCTTTAAATAAGTTTACGTTTCAAAATTGTATAGGCATAGACTATTAATTTTTAAGTATCGAAGGTGTCTTTTTCACTTTGCTAAAATATTGCTGTTTTGTTAAGCACTTTTTCATGAGTTTTAGTTTTTAGCTTACTAACACCAGGAACAAAACATCACTGTTCAGCTCTCTTTGAAATGCAGATAGGTGATGATCAAGAAGGACTTGCAGAATAAATGCCCAAAGCATAAAACCAGAGACAAAATTTTCTTTAACATGGTGGACCACAGACTACACCATTTAGCATTTTTTTCTTTACGGAGGACCAACAGAGGCTTGCTACTTGAATAAACCTGACTGCGTAAACTTCAGCGATCAATGGTAATGAGAAGTAAACATGTCTTATTGTATCACTTTGAAGTCTACCAAAATATTTTGGCATTTAAAATTTTTGGTTTTGGGTTTTTTTTTATTATGCTCTAGAAGATGAGAACAATATTTTAAGTGGCTTTTCTGGGGAAATCTGTTTTCTTATGTAACACACTGAAAAGTATTATATTTCAAAGAATAAACTTATGGCTTGTTACATGAGGTTACATAGTCTCAATAATTTTTATAGTTTTAGGGAATTACACCTCACATACATGAGTCTTCTGCTTTTGAATGAAAAAAAATAGAGAGAGATGAATCATAGCTCAGAATTCCAGTCTATCTATGTTGCAGATTACAGAGCAGATTATAAAACATCCCTTTCTTCTATAAAATTAATTCCTTTTTACTCACACAACTCTGTACCAAGGTATGCCAATCAACATTTGTGTTCCTATATATAACGTTAAGAATTTCAGTAGGATTCATTCACCAAATTGTGTGCACGTGTTTGTGTGCCAAGCATGGCTAGTTATGCTTGACTGGGTAACTATTACCTCCCCAAGCATAACTTAAAGCACAGAAGAGGGAGTGGGACCAAGTGTCAAGAAATGTGCACACTCAGTTTTCTGGAACTTGAGTCAGGGAAGCTAGTGATAGTCTGGTAGTCGTTCTGGGTCAGTCGTGTCAAATACTCGCTCAGTGATCAGCAAAGAGTATTTTGAACAATAGGTAGTTGTACAGTTATACAGTGCATATTTAAGGAATAGTGATTGACAAGTCACTAGAAGAAATCATAGTTATGTTCTATGATCATATTCTTTTTGCTTAATTATTAACAACACATAACAATTAAGCTTACTGATACATAATACAACTTAAGGATGGAGAGATAGCTCAGGGCAAGGTGCTTGTTGCTAGGCCATAGGACCCAAGTTATAATCACAGAAACAACATGATAAGATGGGAGAACAGACTCCTAAAAGTATTCTGACTTCCACAAATGTGCTGTGGAATGTACATGCTCCAGTACACAAATACTTACAGAAACATAGACACACACACAAGTCAATAAACATAAATAATAATTTAAGCCCTCACTAGTAGGAAAGTAATTCAATGGAATGGAATATGGATAAAATTGGAAGCAATTGACTCAATTATAACTCAGTAGTTACTATTGTAGGGATAGTGTTAGACTGGAATTTGGATCAAAATAGCTATGTATCTCTCTCCTCAAGAGACAGAGTTTCCTTCAAAATTATAGGCAATGACTGGGTGCAGTGTCATTCATGTGGCCTCAGCTACTCAAGAAGCTGCAGTAGGTAGGAGAGTTACTTGAACCAAGAGAGTTCATTCATGGTCAGCCAAATTAACATAAGAAGACCCAGTGTAAAAACATGCATGCAGGCCAGCAGTGGTGGTGCACGCCTTTAATCCCAGCACTCGGGAGGCAGAGCCAGGCGGATCTCTGTGAGTTTGAGGCCAGTCTGGGCTACCAAGTGAGTTCCAGGAGAGGCGCGAAGCTACACAGAGAAACCCAGTCTCGAAAAA